GCTCATCCTTTCAAATGGAGATTTCTCATCTCTGGAGATCTGGATGTGGTTCCGGTTTCTACCTATAGTTTTATATATTGCAGAGGCTCCGCAAGAAGCCTCGTTCACTGGGTACGCTGTAGCCCCATTTTAGGTATTCCAATCAGTTGCATACGTAATTTTAAAAAACCTTCTTGTTGTTAAGTGCCATCGAGTCGGTTCTGACCCATAGCAACCCTGTATAGGGTTTAGCATTGCATAAAAATATCACTGTGCAACTGTCCCCCAACATTTGGATGGCTTCAAACTACCATATTTGTCCGCACATACATATTACACACACGGTACTGGTAGAATGCTAACAGGAACGGGATTGCAAGAGAGACTTCCTGTATGGTGTTGTAGGATCAGCACTGGACTGCGAACCACAAGGTCAGCACATCAAAGTTGCTCCTTGGAAACCTTATACAGGGCCACTGTGAGTCAAATATATATTTGTTGTTGTTAAGTGGTGTCCTGTAGGTTCCAACCCAACGACACCTATAAACATAGGCTGTGGTGTTTGATCTTCATCTGTATTTTAAATTCCTCTTCACTTTAAGCAAGCAAGGTTGTATCATGTGCATATCACAGGTTGTTAATGAGTCTTCCTCCAATCCTGATGCCACATTCTTCTTCATATAATCCAGTTTCTCGGATTATTTGCTCAACATACACATTGAATAAGTATGGTGAAAGGATACAGCCCTGGCACACACGTTTCCTAATTTTAAACCATTCTGTGTCCTCTTGGGGAGGGGGGGCAGGCTTGCAGGGTATAACCCTTTGGTTGGTTGATGATGCATGGAGGGGATTATAACCATGACAATGAAACGATACACAATAGGAAGAATGTAAAGCTAATGTTCTCCCATGTAATCTATCACATAAGTCACAGTAAAACGTTAAAAAAGGGGGGTCTCAGTCCACATGTCTCCCCATAGAACAGGGATGGGAGAAGCAAGGTTCAAGTGGATAGAGCACCAAAAGGGAGTAGCCCAAACAAATCGCTGCAAAAAAGTGGGAATTGCATTCTAATCCAATTTGTTTGTAGAGGCCATGTTCTGAAATTTTGTGCATTCTGACTCCGCTTTGCATGAAATTTTCCCATGGCCTCCTAGTGTCCTCAAGCAAATCAGATTTGGGTTTTGGGTTCTGTAGAACTCAGTTCTTCCCAGGCCAACGTGCTCAGGCTGGCAGGCCCAGACCCACTGAGAAGGAATTAGTGAAAATGACTGTGTTAGATAAATGTGCTAAGCACGCTAAGAAGACTAAGCTCGGAAAGTAAAGCTGGACGGGGTTTGCAAGATTCACCCCTTGGAATTTCGATCCACGCAGAGCAAGACCAGAGAGCCCCGGAACCAACCGCACGGCACTCGTTTCCGCTTTGGGGGGGACGCGTTTGTGCGGTGCGCCGGGGGCGGAGTCTGGTCGGGAGCGCGGCGCCGGGAGCGGGAGCCAGAGCGGCGGTGTGGCTGTGGACCGCGGCTGAGGGCGGGCAAGGAGCGGGGAGGACGGGTGCGCTGTCTCCGCGTCTGCGCCACCATCATGAACCTGGAGCGGCTGCGGAAGCGCGTCCGGCAGTACATCGACCAGGTGGGGCGCCGGCGGGAGGCCCGGCCGGGCCCGGAGCAGCGCGGGCTGGGCGGCGCGGGAGACCCGGCGGCCTCGCAGGCGGGGTTTGCAGTCATCGGGGGCTTCGGAGGGGACGACTAGGTCTGGGGGTGGACTCTCGGCTATCTCTGTCTCGCCCTGTAGGACAGCAGCCCGACACGGAGCCTGTTACGAAGCCCCCCAGGTGCAGGGCAGACAGCCTCCCAAGTGCAGGCAGGGCAGCCAGCTTCCCAAGTGCAGGCAGGGCAGAGAGCCACCAAGTGCAGGCAGGGCAGAGAGTCCCCAAGTGCAGGACAGATAGTCCCCTAAGCGCAGGGCAGACAGCCCCAAGTGCAGGACAGAGAGTCCCCTAAGCGCAGGGCAGAGTCCCCCAGTGCCGGCCCGAGGCCCACACTGCAGCCGCCGCATCGCTGGGCACCGTATGCACGCTCATGTATTAGTGCTCAGTGGAAACGGAAGGAGAGTTGCACAGTGACATTCCTTCGAGGTTAGGCTTTTGTTGTTGTAAAGCGACGTTGAGTCGGTTCCGACCCATAGCGACCCTATATAGGGACCCTATATAGAATTTCTGAGGAGCTGCTGGTGGCTTTGAACCGCCGACCTTGCGGTTCAAAGAGTCTTTACTTTCCAGCGCATTAGCTCGCAAGCTGCATTTGTGCTGTCAAGTTGGTTCCGACCCATAGCGACCCATAGCGACCCTATATAGAGTTTCCAAGGAGCAGCTGGTGAGCTTGAACTGCCAACTTTGCAGTTCAAACGGCTTTGCAGTCTAGTCTGGACATTAACCCACAGCAACACACCAGGACTTCGGACTGCATTTAGTTGGACGAAAATGTAAAGATATTAAGCCTGTTGTTTCAAATCAGTACTTAAAAAAAAAAAAATCACGTTGACTTCAGTCCCATGGCCTGTACTACCCTTGAGCGATTAGCAAAAAGTACTCAAAAAAAGAGGTTTTTTTCTCCAGAATCAGCAGTGTCTGGCCCAGGATGTCATTGATTTTTGTTTTCTTCATTTAGATGTTGTGCATGCCTGGAAAATGGCAAGAAAGAGCTAAGGAAAAAACCGAAAAGAAACATGTTTAGTACAAAATATTGGGAATTGAATGTGACATGCTGCCGCTAAATGTGTTTTACTGCATTGGAAGGCAGTATTTTTATTTTTATTTGCCATGTTGTTGTTAGTGATGTTGAGCTGGTTCCGACTCATAATGACCCTGTATAGGGTTTCCAAGCAGCGGCTGGTGAGTTTGAACCAACGACCTTGCAGTTCAAACCGACCTTGCAGTCCAGTATGCTATGCCAGGACTCCTTCATAATCTATTTAATTGAATAAATACTTACTGAGTTTTTGTTTTGTTTTGTTGGCGTGCTGTGGTGAGTTCATTCACTGGATTGCAGGATGGTTTCAACCACAAGGTCTGTGATTCATACTCACCAGCTGCTCCTCAGAAATTGTATACAGGGTCGCTGTGGCTCAGAACGGAGTCCACAACACTTAACAGCAACAATTGTTTTGGACTGTGGCTACAGTGAGGAACAAGACAGACCTAGCTTTCACTTAGAGTTGAGCAGATTTATACCCATCCTGTGACTATTCCTTCTCCCCGTGTAACTGGCAACAGAATTCTTGGTTTGTACCCAGTGGGACTGAGGCAAAGATGGGAGAAAATCGGAGACTGGGGACTAAAGGTAGCCATGATTTTGAATTTCCAGCGCCTTTGCTGGAGTCTTTTAAGAGTTGGTAGTCCTCTCCTTTGTCCTCGTGGCCAGAGAAATTGAATGTGATTGTTAGTGAAGTTGCAGCTGTATTAGATGAAGTATTTGATACAGTCTTCTTCCTATTGGACTACAATTTGGGATTAACAGCTCATTGAAAGGTATCCCTATATAAATAATGTAAAAATGGCTAATGTACTTGCTGTTGAGTACCATTGAGTCCATTTCGACTCACAGTGATGCTGTACAGGGTTTCCAAGAAGGATTCCTTCTCCAGCCACTGGTCCCTCCTGACAATACGTCCAAAGTAATGAGAGGCGAAGTTTGGCCATCTTGGCCTCCAAGGAGCACGCTGGCTTCACTAGATTAAAGATATCACAATAATGTTTTTATTGTACCATTGAATTAAAACTCATCCTAATTAAGCTATTAGACCTCCCCCCCACACACACACACAACTTGTGAAAACATTATATTAGGATGTTGGTTTATTATATACCATTGTAGTAATAACAATAGGTATCTATATAGAACTATTGAAATAACGGTGCAGTTACTGTTTTTGTTTTTAATTTTAACAGCAACAGTATCAAAGTGCGCTATTTTGGGCAGATAAAGTAGCTTCACTCTCCCATGGTAAGTGGCAAATGATGGTTTTTAGTTTTCTTTTTTCCTCATTTCCCTAACTTTTTAAAACTCTTTCTGTCCCACCGGGCACTCTGACCCTTTGTGTGCTTGTCCCCAGAGGAGCCGCAGGACATTTACTGGCTGGCTCAGTGCCTCTACCTAACAGCACAGTATCACAGAGCGGCTCACGCACTGCGGGCACGAAAACTAGACAAAGTGAGTACCACGGGGGCTCGAAAGCTCTTTAAAACACGCCATGAGATGAGTACTGGATGTATTTTATGTCAGAAATTATTTTAAAGGGTATTTACTTTTTCATATTGAATGTGAAAAGAAAATGTGTTGTCCTCAATCTGTGACGTCGTTTTTTCCTTTGCCACATCTAGTCATTTAATTCTGAAAATGATGGTTTTTTGTTATATACTGATAAATTGAGGTCGCCTTTAAATTTCTTTCCATTTTGAAACCACTCATGCATTCCAGAAGGAAAACCAAACGTATCACCATCAAATCGATTCTGACTTCTAGCAACCCTGTCAAACAGGCTCGAACTGCCCAGAGGGTTTCCAAGGCTGTAAATCTTTATAGGAGTAGTCAGCCACAGACTTCCTCCTCAGAGTGGCTGATGGGTTCAAACCGCTTATGTTGGTGTTAGCAGCCTCTGCTTAGCCACTGCGCCACCAGGATTGGCTCATAGAGAATTTCCCTATTCTGTGGTGTCTTAACTATTTTCAGTGTCATCTGTCTCCCTTCTCACCTCCCCTGTCTCTAGTTCATCTGTCAAACTATCACCAGGGAGATGATCCTGACAGACAGGTCCGATGATAGCGTTCACGTCATCATTCATTGATCTCCTGTTACCTGAAAGAAAACCCCCAGCTCCATCAAGCTGATGCCCATTCATGGCCCTTGGCAGGGTTTCTGAGGCTGTAAGTCGTTACAAGAACAGAAAGCCTCATCTTTCTCCTGTGGAGCTGCTGGTGCGTTTAAACTGCTGACCTTGTGGTCCTTTATTTATCCTACAATGTCACCAGCGCTGTTTCTACAGGGGAAAATGAAGTTCTTTATGACTTCTCTCCACCATGAGCACCTGCAGAACCAGCTACCTGACAAATGTCTCCTTTCCCCTGAGGCTGTGAGCCTCTCCCTGAAGAGGCTGCCTCCTTTGCCTTGCTAGCATTTCCCCTGCCTCTCCTAGTGCTTACCTGTCATACCATGTTCACATTTCCTGCTGTAGCCCCCTTGAGGCCAGGTCTGTCCTCTTTGACTCCTCGGTGCCTAGTAAGAGTAGGTTTGTGCTCGGGCAGAGACACAAACCTACTTTATTTTTTTACTACAGAAGTTAAAATACTTTTTTGTTTCATGCTTCTTGGTATTTTAAAGTAAGGGTGGATATTGTCTTGACCACTTTTTGTTTTTTACTTTTTATTGTGAATGAGTGGAGGTTTACAGAGCAGATCATCAGTTTTACATTCAACAACCAGACACTTTGTTTCCTCTCAGCGGTTGCTGTCTCCTCCGTGTCAGCAGTGATCCTGTGCCTTCCTGTGCTAACTATTTCTACTCTACCCTCCTTCCCGACCCTTCTCAACTTTGTCCCGAGGTGAATGTTGCCCTTTTGATCTGGAGTAGTTGGCCTTCTGGCCGTGAGCATTCCCCACTAGTGTTGCTGTACCCCCTTAAGTACCTATCTGCTGTCTGGATGATAATTGGACCACGAGGGTGAATTCCTTTCCAAACCGGAAGCTCGGCCGAGGGTCATAGCTCAGGTTCCTCCAGTAAGCCCATATCTTGACAACTTCATCAAGATCATTTTACTTTTTGGTAAAAACATGCTTAGCAAAAGACATACCAGTTTAACATTTTTTCTTCTTAAACAGTTTCTAAGTGTACAATTTATAGACGCTGCCTACTGTGTCCCTGCCAGCATTTTGAATTGCTATGGTCAGTGTGGTCACACAGAGCTAGGTCCCTCAAAGAGCACAGTGCTAAGCACAGACATTCTTCTCCAATTCAGCTAAACTCATGTTTGCTTTAAAGAAGACTTTAGGGGGTAGTTACTTTTGAACACTTTTTTAATCGATGGGTTTTTTTTCCTCAGTTATATGAAGCGTGCCGATACCTGGCAGCTCGATGTCATGTAAGTATGTCTATATGCTCTTCATTTGTATGTACGTCTGTATGCTCTTCATTTGCAGGTACATCTATAAAGGTCTGACTTTATGCATCCCTCATGTATTCCTGAGAATTTTTACAATGGAGCTTAGCAGGTTAATAAAAGAGTTTAGAAGGAAATGTTCTTTCCTTTAGGATTGCCTGCTGTAAAACGTTGACTCTCCATTTAGTAAAAGCTCTCATGCATGGGAAAGCTCTGCTGTACACATTTCTAATTGAATTAAACCCTAGGCTATTATGTGTTACTCTTAAAGTCTGGAAATAAGTGTGAGGTCATTCAGTGCTAGAAGTCATAGATGATGAGCAGTATTTTGGGCTTTCCCCACAGTATGCTGCAAAAGAGCACCAGCAGGCTCTTGACATCCTAGACATGGAAGAGCCAATCAACAAACGATTATTCGACAAGAACGTGAAGGATGAAAGTGGCCTGAGAGACTCGTCCAGTGACTGGGAAATGTCGCAATCTTCAGTAAGTCACTGTGGAATCAGACAGAATGTTAGTGTGCTCCAGTAACACCACTCAGAATTGACATATTATATTTAAAAAAAAAAAAAATTTACCTTTTTTTAGTTGAGTATCACCATATTGAAAGGAGCTCTGGTAGCGTAGTGGTTACGAATCAGGCTGTGAACCTTAAGGTCAGCAGTTCGAAACTACCAGCTGCTCTGTTGGAGAAAGATGAGGCTTTCTGCTCCCTTAGAGATTTACAGCCTTGGAAACCCTGTGCAGGGTCACTATGGGTCAGAACCGACTCCACAGCACATAACAACAACAACAATCACCATATTGAAACAGTATGGTTTTGTATACTGCATATTTGTATACTGTCAAATATGTGTAATTTGACCACTTAAAAGCAAAAAGATTTCAGAACATTTCTGAGCTTTTATTTGAAGCTGCGGTTATAGCTTCAGACTGCCTGAATATGAAGCCGGTTCACTAACGCCTTTCTTGTGTTCCATGCCTTAATAGTTAAACTACTCCTTACAGATGGAACACTTTTTCTCCCCTTCTTGCTGAATTACAGACTGTTTGAGTCTTGTCCCTAAAATCTTCTTAATTAGTTACATTGTCGCTTTCTTCCCAGGAATGGTTTGATGGTATTCTTTACCATTGTTGTTAGGTGTTGCCAGGTCAGTTCCGACTCATGGTGACCTTACACACAACATAGCGAAACCCTGCCCAGTCCTGGGCCGTCCTCACAATGTGACACTTGAGCCCACTGCTGCTGCCACGGTGTCCATCCTTCATTGTTTTCACTGACCCTCCACATTCCCCAGCACAATGTCCTTTTCCAAGGGCTGGTCCCTCCTGATAACAAGCCCACAGTATGAGAGACGGAGTCTCACCACCTTGGCTCCTAAGGAGCATTCTGGCTGTACCTCTTCCAAGACAGATTTGGTGGTTCTTCTGAAGGTCTGTGACAGTTTTAATATTCTTCTCGAGCAACATAATCCATTTGCATCAGTTCTTCTGTCTTTCTTCTTCATTATCCAACGTTTCACATGCATATAAGGCGATTGAGTCCTCAGACTATTTATTGTCTTTGCTCCTGAACACTTTAAAAAGGTCTTGTGCAGCAGATTTCTTCACTGCTGCTTTCATGAGTGTTGGTTGTGGATCCAAGCAATATAAAGTCTTTGACAACTTCAATCTTTTCTCCGTTTATTTGGATGTTGATTATTGGTCCAGTGGTGAGGATTTTTGTTTTCTTTACACTGAGATGCAATCCATACTGAAGGCTGTGCTCTTTGATCTTCATCAGTTACTACTATTTTCCATCCTTTCGGCTTCCAACATGCAAGGTTGTATGATCTGCATATCATAGGTTGTTAATGTGATTGTTTTAATCCTCATGCCATATTCTCCTTCATATAGTCCAGCTTCTCAGATTGTTTGCTCAGCACACAGATTGTTAATTACGGTTGAGGGATACAACCCTAGCACACACCTTTTCTCATCTTAAACCATTTGGTGTTTCCTTGTTTTGTTCAAACGACTACCTCTTGGTCTATGTACAGGTTCCTC